TATGGAATACAGCATGAGCTCCTGGTAGACAGCCTTTTAGAGAAATATGAGAACACACTCTACTACTTATCAGTAATGCTCTTTGCAGATTGGCCCATTGATTTAGAGCAGGGCTACTCAACTTTGGAAGCCCCAGGGGCCACAATGATACTCACAGCACATGCTGAGTGTGGTTGCATATACATGCAAATATATTTACAAATATATGCAAATAGCTTCTTTCACACTGATGGGAATGAATACAAAGCACTTCCTACAATGCCCCAGTGCTCCCAGCACCTCCTCCCTGGAGGCTTGAAATGCCAACATCCTGTACCCATCTGTTCCAACCAGCCCGTCCACTTGCGTCTTTCAATGTTCACCCCACCTGGGAGATGCATCACTATGCTCAAAGGATCCCACCCATAGGTTGCATGTTGAGCCCTGCATAAACTCAAACTGCACCACATGTGGCCCATGGGCAACGTGTTGAGTAGCCTTGATCTAGAGTAAGTCAGCCATGAACAAAATATGTGCAAGTGTATCACAGTTCCAGAGGTAAATAGCTCAGACATCTTTTAAAGGAATCCTAAAGTAGATATAACAAACATTCCCCATTACCACTCCATTTTTATAGTGTCCACCTGGCTGCCATATATTCAGGAAGACATCATTTACTGATGAAACAAGCTGGGTGAGGTAATCTGTTTTGTTGGACCAATTTCTGTTGATGAGAGAGACAGACTTTCATGCTTATACAGAGTTCTTAAGGTTGTCTCTCTCACCAACATAAGTTGGTCCAATAACAGAGATTACCTTACCCACCTTGTTTCTCTAAGATCCTGGGACCAATATAGCTACAACACCACCATATATCTATCACCCATTGATACGAAGCTAGATTGCATTCAAGAGCGTATAAAACAAGCCCTTTTAAAACACTATTTGAGATGAGAGATGTACATGGCATAAGTAGAGACAGAATTTGGCCTTGAAGGTTAACTTAAAAACTGTTTAAGTGTCTTTTCATTCTGTCTCTAGAGCTGCTAAGCTGTATAGTTTACAAAGCAAGGAAGATCCTTTTGTAATACTTTATGGCATAATTCTAGTGTCATGCAGTAAGTGCAGATTTACTGCCTTCTATTAAATTTCAACAGCCATAACAAAGCTTGATGTTGCAGACATCAATCAAACACGCAAATATTTAGTAAAAATAACAATCAGCACTCCCCTAAGGGGCTGATCGGGCTTTTTATAGTGAGAATTTCATCCGGTCTCACTCAAACATTGATTAAAACATTATTTTCTGCAGGTGGTAAAAAGCATATTCTACTGATCGGTTTACTAACAGAAGCAGAGAATCCCATGTCCTGTAGCATATTGCGGGGACCAGCAAATAGGTATCTTTGCACCTTGAACCAAATATAGAAGCCAATACAGTGCATGCTGCAGAACTGATTCAGTCACAGCATGATCACATCACTGTGTCTACAGTATGATATCTGTCATTGTATCTAAAGCTCCTGATTGATTAATATTCAGCATTTTATGTTAACACTGAGAATTTAGGAATCTAGAAATTAGCTCTGCAGTAATTGCAATTACCATTGTAATTACCATTGTGGTAACGGCCTGGGTTACTTTTATAAGATCTGTTAATGGAAGGGGAATTCCAGAATCCACACGTATCAAAGCATATTTATACTAATAACCATCAGTTAAGAGGTCCTTGATAACCACATTGGGAGAATGGACAAATATCATTTTAAAGAAATCAAATTTTGAATTTCCAAATGGACTACAATTATTTCCTCTTTCATATACCCATATATCCAGTACCTGTATCATATGGCAGTATAGATTTACCATCTGAATTAATGATAATGATTTAACTGTGGCATATAGTTAAATACTGTATATTCAAGTTGGAAAGTACTTTGGCTTATATTGATTTAAATCTCTACTTCCCAAGTGCATAGGTTTAGTTTCACCAACCCACTTCAGAAAACAAATATGAAAAATATCATGGCATTTTTACTCTCTCCTATTTTTCATCTTTATCATTGCTGTTTTGAAACTCCTGTTGCTTTTTCCTGGGCAATTTTATCAAATCATTCTAGCCTACACTATTTTCTTCTTGGTAACACTTCCTACTCCACCCTACTCCCCATCTTCTGTCTTACGTGTGGCTGATTGATCAATTCACATTTAGAACTAGAATTTGAAATTCAAGACCACTTAAAGGCCCACAGTGGAGAATGAGAATTCAAAGACAAAAATTTTAGATTATTTTCACTTTTGTTATTTTGTTTAAAAGAGTTCACCTTGATGTGTCATGAAATACCCCTTCTTGGTCTTCTTTTCCTTGTTACACCTGGCCAGCACAAGCAGCTGAGATCTTTGCTCTATTTTCCCTGCATCTCTGTGCAATGCTTTGTAATGTATATCTATCTATATTATTTTTTCTAAGCCTTTCAGACAGCTGTTACATGATCAGGATTCTCCTGAATCTCTATGCATTCAATCTCTTCCCGCGCCTTCCTTTTGGCCCGTTTCTTTTTCTTGTGGTGCTTTTTGGAGGGTGGGAAAAAAGTTAGGAAGACTGGCAAAATAACAAAACAGTGCAGTAGTGTGCAACTGCTGGTGAGCAGCAAGCATTTGAACAGTGTGAAGGTCAAGTTTGAAGGCACAAAGAGAAGGGGGACCAACCCAATAAGAAAAGAAGTAACATTTTGCAAAATGGCTGTCCCGTGCTCTTGAAGGGAGTTTTTTATACACTGAGTTCGGGTGTGCTCAGTTGCTAGTACAAATGTGTAAAGCAGGGGTGCACAGTGATCTATGGCAAAATTCAAAGTGTAGATAAGGCACAGTATAGAAATACAATCCATTTCTACATTCCATAAGGTCATCAAGCCTAGGACCCCCAACTCTATTGAGGTGACACTGAGAATTAACCAGAAGTTTCCCAGAGGATGAATAACCAGGAAAAAGGTCAGTATTAACACAAGCAGGATGCCAAAGCCAGAAATCAGAACAGGCATAGTTACGGACAAACCATAGTGGTCCATGAAAACAAAGGTAGGATTGAATACAATGAATTTGATGCTCTGTATTAGAGATAGTGGCCTTAACTTCTCCAGCAATTCCACCACCTCCCTTTGTGTGTTTTCACTAGTCCTGGCCACCAGATACATGCGGGAAGCAATGATGTTGTTCTCGTCTCCAGCCTTGGAGAAAATGATGTCATTTTTGAAGTGCTGGAATTCAGATTTTTTTAAAAAGGAGCTCTGGAGAATGCTGATAAAATCGCTTTTGTTGGTAGTGCTGAGGTTGCCAATCCTCAGGTACTGATAGTATTGTTCGATCCAGGACACCGTATGGAACCCATGGCTTAGGGTTTTTAAGTCTTCTTGCACGGTGCCATTCCAATAATCAAGAGGTTCATAGATGTAGAATCCTATCACAGGACTGTAGTTGCTGAAATACTTCTGCTGGATGAGGGCATAGGAGACGCTTGGAGACTCGCTGGCTAGAAGGTTGATGATGTTGGCTCCATCACTGATCTGCAAGCACCCCATAAAGGAGAAAGAGGCATAAATGAGATACAGGATCACCACAAATGGCTTGACGTAGATGTTAGTAATCCACTCGTTGTAATGTTCTCGTAGGAAATGCTGGATGAAGTGATTCTGGTAGGGGTCAATCTCGTGATGAGAAGTGTGCTGATGGCCGTCGCTCATCATGGTTTGGAACCACACAGGTTTCCTCTCCAGGTATTCTGCTGAAGGGATTTTACAGCAGAAGATACTGTGGTAACGGTTCTGCTCCAGCTGTCCAGCAAAAACCAAGCAGGAGCCAAAGAAAGAGAAGATATAGAAGTAGTTCAACAGGATGGAGATGCACATGTTCTGGCAGAAAACTTTCACAGCCTCAATGTTGGTGAAAGGGCTGGCACCCATTCCAAAGGCTATGAAGTACAAGGAGGTCGTCATTGTATAGGTGACCATGACATCAGAATAGGTGTCTGCTACCCTGTCCTTGAATGGAAGGTTCTCTCTGGTTCTGCGCCATCCTGAAAGAAGTTCAAACACTCCTTTGGTTCCATGACCTAAAATAATAACAATAACAATTTATAAATGCAGGTTTCCACTATTCATTCTGCAACATTACTGTGAACTTTTGGCCACTCTTTTTTATTAAACAGACTTAAAAAAACCATTAATATCACTTCACAAGCGAAACACATGTACAATTTTCAGATCTGTGTGTTCAAGTTAAAAACTTGGATCCAGGGCCGACTTTAGGAAGTGCGAGGCCCAATTCGAAACATTTTGGCGCCCCCCCCAACCCAGGATTTTTTGTTGAGCAAAAA